TGTATAAATGGATTATACACTTAGTTAAAATAACCATAAAGCTAATAGTACAATCACATCACATATGCGTACAGAAGCATGGGAAGGCAACCTATGCTTCAGTACGCTTCTTGGGGTTTTGTTCTGTGGTCTCGTCTACTGTAATATGGTCTGCCTATTTCGACTTCCCGATTGCTACCAACTTCATTAAGGCGATTGAGTTTGTTCTATGGACCTCTGTTTTCTGTCTGAGAGAGATACCCAACAAACTCCATTCCATAGCTGTCATAGTAACATGTAGCTTTGGCACAATCGATCTTGTTAGTGTCAATGACGCAGCTCCACATTAATGACGTTATCCAAAGATTACTACAACTTATTTCAATGAAGTATCATTGGTATAAAAAAGGGTAAAAAAGTACATTATTGTGCACAAGCATACTGATGCTTGAAGTAAGGGGTTGACATATTGACATTATGACAACTATATTTTCTCAAAACAAAACTAAAGCAATGTTGTTAACACTGAAATATTGCTAGTGAAGATTTTAGAAAATTATGGTTGGAAGATCATTCTATTCCTATGTTACACAATTGTGGATATGTTGGAATTAAGTGTTTTTCCTTCCTACTTTTGTAGACATCTTTCTTTTGCTACAAACACAATGATGATAAAACTATTCCTCTCCTTTTCAGGTGGACTAAAAGCGGGTGTGTTGGGTGCAGCTGGCTTTGCAGCATTTTCGACAGCGATAGATTATTACATGCACCAAAGGGGTTAATAAAATATGAACATTGTATATTGAACAAGCATTTTAAATATTAGTTTGTACAGTTAATTTATATTTTGTTTTGTTGACAATTAAAACTTTTTGAATAATTTTAGTATTAATAGTAGAAATAACAGTATCTACAATAACAATATTATTTTCAAACAATGCAAAAAGTCCTCAGAAATTTTCCTATTCATTGACAATTGAGAATGTTCAATGTTCCACTATTATTACCATTATACAATGGTAATAATAGTGGAACATTGAACATAAAGGAACATTAATTTGAGACAGAAGAAAACAATTTTAACTTTTTATTAAAAAAAAGTTACTTCAAAAGTTTGTGGAATTACATCTATTTGCGAAGTTTTATTAAAATTGTGTGAAATCCAATAATTCGGATCCAGAATCATCCCCTAATCTCTTAATCCTTAGAGGTGGAATATTTGGATCAAATTTGAATGGGACCACTACTGAAGTACCCTCCTTCCAAAAAAAAATAATCAAAACAGCTAAAAAATTGTTCCAACGAATAATACACAAAAAAAATCGTGATAATGAGAAGCTTTTTCCATCCTCTGAGAACCTCATTTTTTTACATCTGTTAAAATAATCTGCTTATGTTTACTAACACTTTTTTATATAATATAATATTTCTGTCTCCAAATAAGTCATAATTTCCAACAGTCTTTGCATTTCTCTATTCTCATTGTCATTGAATTTCTATAAATGATTTTTATTCCGTAATTTGCTCAACAGTTTTAAAGTACCTATAAAAAAATAGGTAAATCTACCATCATAACTGCGGTGTGTTAGGAAATGTAGAGTTGGACATTTTGGACAATCCAACGATTTTTGTAAATTATTATAGGTATTTAAAAGGCTTGGAATGAAACAGTGTTGGGCGTTAATCAATTAAATTTCAATCAATAATTCAATCAGATTAAAAAATCAATTCAATTGCAATTGATTTTAATTGCAATTAAAATCAATTCTGGCCGGTTGGGGGGCCCGGTTATGGGACTGGTTGGGGTCCCCGGTTGGGGGGGCCCCGGTTGGAGGCCCAGTTGGGGGGCCCGGTTATAAGGCCCCGGTTGGGGCTTGGACGGGGGGCCTGTTGGGAGCCCCGGTTGGGGGCCCCCAACCGGGCCCCCATAACCAACGCCCTAACTCAATATGCCCTATAAATTTATCATAATTGTCAGTTTTAATTGTTAATTGTTAATCAAAAACATTGAAAAGATTGAAAATTGATTAATTGTTAATTGTAGATGTTTGCGATTAACGACTGATCAATTGTTAGTTGCGAGAACCGCAATCAACAATTGATTAATTGTTAATTGCGGTTCTCGCAACTAACAATTGATCAGTCGCTAATAAATTGCTGTTTCGCAATTGACAATTAATTAATTGTCAATCTTTAATTGCCAGAACAATTAAATTTTGCCCAACACTGGAATGAAAGCATGATGCGCGTTGATGTGGCGAAAGATGTGTGTCAATGGTCACCGTAGCAAGTGAACGGCTGTTTGTTATTTCTGTCTACCCAGGTGGGAAAGGGTGTGAAGTATGTGTCCATGTAAAAAGGCGTTAATAGTATTATTTGTTCTCGTTAGTATTATTACTAAATGTAAAGCGATAGAAACAACAATTGTTCTAAACTAGTAAACAAAGCGGCCTGAAATTTCAAAAAAAATCGTCATTATTCAACAGATAAAAGAAACAAAGTTATCATTTTATAAGTATGTAGAGCATACGTTTATTTGAAAAAAATGTGATGAAATAAAAGTATTTACGAAACTTTTTACCAAGACGTTTTTCTGTTACAAAGACGAAATCAATGTAGATCTAACTGGAATCCGGATCATTTGATTAATTGTATCGTCAGTAGTAATCCTTATTAACTGTCATTGCTCTTTTTTTTACAATAGCAACCGTTATACCCGCCATTTTAAAAATCAACAAAAAAGCAACGGCCGAAAATGTTCGTGTGATCGATTTTTACATGATTTTAATTAATTAATATATAATACCACAGCTATTTTACACAACTTTGTGAAGCGAGATATATTTGAAGGCTGTTAGATATATTTTTTTAGCTGTACTATGAGAGAAACAGAGAAAATGACGGATCCTTTTGCGTCTGACTCTGGTATCGATTCTCCAGCTCACGAAAGTTTGAAGAATGTTGATGGTTGCTATAACAAGAATATATTGAAGAGCAAATCGTTTGCAAATTCACGTCGTGCCTTGCAATCGGGCGCTGAGAAGATTTCCAGGACATTTAGGAGCATGAGAAATACTTTTGGAAACTTGTCCCAGGTAAACTTTGATTGTACCAAAACCATGGATTTAATAACTATTATCAACGCAGGATCAAGGTCAATGCTGCCGCAGCGAGTACGGCAGAATAACCTTGACATTGCTACCGCACTTGCTCTAGTATTTCTTTCATAATTGGACGTAGTTAAGCAAAACCGATCCAATCCACAGAATTATCAAAAAACGAGTTATACGTAGCAAACGGTTCCTGAAGTCTTAACCTCTTAGTAATCTTGTATAGTTCATGAACTACGATCTATTAGGAATATATTCCTGACACTGCAAACGGTACAAATAGCAATTGTTCATTGCTTTTAGTCCGAATGGGAAGCACAATTGTACGTTGCCAGTTCATTCTAAGTCTAATATGTATCTGCATTATGTATGTAGTATATAAGCTTGCAAAAAGTAAGTACTCATATTTTTTGGTAGCTGTGGTATGTATCTGTAAGTATGTATAATATCAACAAATGTACGAGTAAAGGAAATAGTTGTACCTAAATATTAATTTTTAAACACACCATTCTAACTAAAATTTTTGTTTTGTAAAAAAACGATATTTAGTTAGAATGACTGTCTAAACCATAGACATAGAAAAAAAAGGGGAGATATGGTATTGGGGCGTGGTTCGTGTTGTATCGAGGTGACACGCCTACAAACATTGCCAGTGACATGGCGACCATTGTACATACAAGATCTCTCGTAAAACGTGAAAATGCCAAGCTGTAGTGATACACCTTGTAAAAATTGGAGTGAAAACAAAAATTTTAAAACCAGTGAGATAACATTCCACCGGCTATTTGCATTTTTATATACTATTTCTATTATTATTCAATGTTTTCTTGTTGTCTCCATAGACATTTCTAGACTCAAATATAGTGATGTTCATTTACGAAGGCTGATGTTTATTGACAATAAATTTTTACTGAAATATTTGAATTTCTTACTATGATTTTTGTATTTTTAAATATTTAGTACAGTGTACTATTGACCTCATGATACTAGAAGTCTATAGTAGTTTATGTGAATAAAATTACTAGTTTGGAGCGTTCATTCAATGTCCGAGCAAGCAAGGACAAGACACAGACTATCTAAGGAACTAAATTAACTGGAAGACCGACCAAGTTCAGTTGACCGAAGGAACTAACTAGGTTTGTTCTCTCTAAGGACCAATCAGGCACAAGTCAAACAAAAATCCAACATATAAACATAAATAAATATCACAGTAAGGCTAGCATGATAGGGCACAACTAGCGCGAGAGCGACATAAAGTGCAAGATACTGTTATTCTCGCGTATAGATCTCGCGCTTTATGTCGCTCTCGCGCAAGTCGCGGCTTACATTGCTGGCCCTACTGGAGTTACATGACATTGTAAGTTTTGAAAATAAAATAAGAGTAAGAAATACTTTATTACAAATCGACATAAACAACCCTTATTAGTAAAAAAATTAAGAAATTGATTATGTGGATGAATATGTCCATCTAGGACAAATAATATCCCCAAGTTTACAAATAGAGACGAAAATTCAAAGAAGGGTAAGCAACAATTGGGCACGCTATTGGTCGCTCAAAGAGATACTTAAGAATGAAGTAATCCCAATGTCAGACAAGCGCAAAGTCTTCAACACATGCATCCTACCAGTGCTCACATATGGGTGCCAAACATATAGCTTGACTAAGTCTATCAGCCAAAGACTAAAGATGTGCCAACAAGGGATAGAGAGAAGCATGTTACACATCAAGCTGAGTGTTTAACTATGTTCAATTATAATGCACATAGTTTACAAAAGTAATACAAAATGTTATGTTATACAGCATTTCAGACTCGGTGGTAGGCGCAGGCACCGACTCACCGAGAATGGAACGCCGTGCAAGACTCCATCTACTCCAATTGCTAAAAAGAAGGTAAATATTTTTTTCTTTTCATTGAGATATAATAATCGAAAACACCTTGTTACCAGTGTTATAAGTAAGAAACATAGAAAGTAGTAAAAAATGTAGTAGTTACACATAAAGCCTACTTAAAAAGTATTTCAGGTATTGTTAGTGTGCTATAATTTTTGTAGTGCGTCACTTAGCAAACAATACAGATAGTCATTTCTAGTATTGACTGTAAGATTGTTTTAGTCTACTGGTAGCTATAGGTGCTCTATTTAGGGATTGCATATAATTATATTTGTGTTGGTTATAAAATTAATATTGTTGTTTCCATTTTATTTTGACTTGAGATGTTTATAAGTAAAAACTGCCCATTTTTTATTAGAACAATATTGTTTACTAAGTGAAGAGTTGAACATTTTAAAGAATTAAAAATACTTAGGATATAAGATTACTAGTAGAAACTTTAGGAAGCACTACAGCCACACATCATTAGCATGTCTACAATTTCTTAAATAATTTCTAGAAACCTGCCACTCTCTGCAGGTGTGCGTCAGTAGGGTCCCCTACATCGACACATGTTTTTTTATAATATCAAGTGACGGGACAAACAAGTCGTGTGCCTGGTGGTAAGCTACACGCCTGTCTTTAACAGTTGCAGTGCCGCTCAGAGCTTTAATAGTCGTATTCTAGAACTCTACTCAATGCTCAAGTCAGGATTTGAGTATGGTTTAAAGCAGTCGAAATCATACTCAAGTCCCGTGCATTAGGGTCGTATTTCCAGTGCTTGAAATCATACTCAAGTCTGCTCAAGTCCTGACTTGAGCATTGAGTAGAGTTCTGGAATACGACCCTGAATCTCAAAGATCTGAGGGGCACTGCGCCCGTCACCCTGAGACAAGTTGACAAGTCCCATGTACCTGTAATTTCACCAGCTCCCTTGCCCTTCAAAATCGGAACACAGTAATTTTGATATTACTCCTTGGTGGCAGAAATAGGTAAGGTGGCAGTACTACCCTGGACGAACTCATTCGCAAGGAGCTCTACTGCTACTATATTACATTTAGTCTTATTTTCATTGTAACAAATGCTCAAGAATGCGTATTCCAGGTGCTTGGCCGAAGCCCTACTAAGCTGTACAGTCCATTTGGCATAGAAACTCCTTGCAGCAGGGACTTCCGAATGTCACCATATATGCCGGATACACCAGATCATGGGTAAGAGTGAAAACTAAGGAGGTTTGCTCTGTAAGGCTGTCTGCTCAAAACTTTTAAATATATAATTAAATAATTGTAATGAAACACCAAATAACTTTTATCTTTAACCATCTGCTCCATAGTTACGTGTCGTAAAACAATATTTAACGAATTGCTTTTATTGCAGGCTTTCTCCTAAGAGGCGTAAAGGCATCCCCACCTGGCATATCCTGTCGAAGAAGCGGCCGAGAGCCTTGTTCCACTGAGGCTGTACTTAAATGCATAAAATTGTATCCCACCGCTTGAGTAAGATTAGCTTTCTTCTATAATAAATCAATATTTATTTATATGCAATTGGTGCTATATTTGTGTAGTGTATGAGTTAAGGTGAATATCCACTGAAAATGTTTTATAATCATGATTGTGGGTTTAGGATGGGCTTAAAAAATAAAGGTGATTTTTGCATATTATGAGGCAATACAAGGGCTTAGTAAAAGTTTGGTTTAATGGTTGCTTTTAAATATGTTTATATGAGGTAATCACTCTTGGATGGAGGTCAACACACTTGGACGTTTACAATATAGATCTAAAAAGTATGTGGATATAATTTATGATATGAAAAGACTTCTTGTATCATGGTGAACAAGTAAAAGTAACCACAATCCCTGATTAATAAATAAGTGGAAATTCAAACTCCACAATCTTGTGTCTTGAAATACTATATAGCTATAGTTTTTAATACATATGCACATTGCACAGTATTTCAATGCAATGGGAAACCAAGTGAAACAGCTGGTGGTCCATAACATACTGTTTTATTCAAGGCATGTCCTGGGCAAATTTAACAAGAGACAGGAGATTGGACTCACATAATTGGTATTTGCATTCTACATACAATGTTTGGTCATCATGCACTATAAAATGGGCATATTCATCATCCTTACTATTTGGTTTTGAGCTATCTTCATCATGTTTCCGCTTCGCGTCACTCTTACCTCTTCTGTCCTATCTATACATTTCTCCTTCGTGTATTTTATATTTGAAAGATTCTATGAATATAATTATGTGTTATTTACTCTTGTGTTGGGTTTTCGCATTTCTTTTTTTAAATTTCTATTACTGTTATTGTTTACTGATCTCTGCATGATATCTTCTAATTAACATTGTCAAACGCCTTATCTAGGTTGACATATGCTATTTGTGTTAACCTACGTCAAATTCTCCTGCCTATTGCTTATACATTTTTCTCTTGCATAAAGCCTTATCTTAATTTTTGTTCCATTTCACTTTATATAAATATTCTATGTACTTTTTCGATCTTTTTGTTACTTTCTTAATGTTTATAAGTATTTGCCCGTCTTCATTTAAAATACCTGATTATGAGTTTCGTTGCGTATTACAATTTCGTAAGCTATGTCAGTTTTTCACCACCTTCTTATTCTCTTCAGATTCTCTCTATTTGATAATCTTCTGTAACATCATCTATTTTTTTTCTACCATGAAATCTGTAATTTCTGAATCTTAACAGAACTTCGTTGCAAATAGCAGGTACAGACTGTTGTTTTACACATATAGCTATGATTCAGTGTGATGGACTCTCAGGTATAAGTGACTTATTATTCCACATAAAATCACAAAGCTCATTTATTTATAAAACATTTAAATGATAAGTTTCAGTGGATGTAGTGCCTAAAAATGCCTTACTTATCAATATTTCATTGTCTACACTGACAAATGTATGGAATCAATGATTTGTATGAAAGTTGAATGTGATTGGCTTATAAAAGTATTATCGAAATATATTCAGTATTATGGTATGCCAAAATGTTATCAGCTTTATGAGTAAGGTCCAGGTGTAAGAGGAAACGTATTGTGGGAAAACTTGAGGTACGGGATGTAAGCCTATTAAGACTGTGATGTAGCTCTTGCTTGGGGTGTTTTACCAAAATTAAATTAATTTAACAGCAGTTTGCCAGTGTTAACTTAAAAACAGTGTTGGGAAAAATTTAATTGTTCTGGCAATTAAAGATTGACAATTGATTAATTGTCAATTGCGAAACAGCAATTAACAAGATCAATTGTTAGTTGCGAGAACCGCAATTAACAATTAATCAATTTTCAATCTTTTCAATGTTTTTGATTAACAATTAACAATTAAAACTGACAATTATGATAAATTTAAAGGGCATGAGCCACCCAACCGGAGCCCCCAAACCGGACCCCCAAACCGGGGCCCTCAAACCGGGTCCCCCAAACCAGACCCCCAAACCGGGGCCCCCAAACCGGGGGCACCCAACCGGGCCCCACAAACGGGCCCCCAAAGCGACCCCCAACCGGAGCCCCAACCGGGTTCCCAACCGGAGCCCTCAAGCGGGGTTCCCAACCGGGGGCCCCAACCGGCCGGAATTGATTTTAATTGCAAATTTAATTGCAATTAAAATCAATTCAATTGAATTCAATTGCAATTAAAATCAATCGTCAAATTGAATTATTGATTGAAATTTAATTGATTAACGCCCAACACTGCTTAAAAACTAAAAGGCAGCACTGCCAATATGCAACCATTGTGATGGTAATTTGGCGTCCTATACACATATCCATGATTTTTCCTATAATGGAGATAACGCGTTTGTTGACATGATATATATTTATCGATGATGTTGGGTGATAAATATCCCATATATTTTGAAGCAAACAGAAGCTGAGTTAACGTCGTTAACATAGATTTATCATCGCATTGTCTAGATAGTACTTGAATGTTAGAATCACGCAGTATACACGAGTTTTCCCATATGCGTAAAACAAACTGTGTACGCTTTGCTGTGACAATATTAGTCTGCTAATGCGTATTTTAAGACTTTTTATATAAAGTAATTGTATTATGTACCTTCAAGGTAAGGCAGTTTTACTTATTAGTTTAGGCGCTACGCAGGCGACTTCTTTGAGTAAAATTCCATTCTGGCCTTGTTCTTAAAAGAATGTCATCGTCTGTGTCGCGCTTTATTCCTTATGATTTGTGTGCAGCTATATTCTTAATTTTGGGTAATTGTAATAAATTCATAAAATTTTCATCCCCAATAAGAATACTTTGTAATATGTATGAGTAAATTGAAATTTAATATGAAAAGTAAAATAATTCAACTCGACATAACTTAGGGGGGCACCAAACTTCAACGCTCAATCGGCTTAAGCTGGTCATAGAAAAATTTTACGTCCGTGTCGCTTCCGCGTGTCGAAACGCACGTCTTTTCACTTTTATCACATGGACATGAAACTTTTCCTCGTCAGCTTATTACGGTTTCCGGTAAATGTGGTAAGTCCTTAATAGGTTGGAAATGAACCTATTGTTTTCGGATTTAAAATCGCATATATTTGTCAAACTCAACGTGTCAGGCGTTTTATAGGTTTGTTAAAAAAATATTAACGTTATTTATTAGTCTTAAAGAGACAATGCCGTCCAGTGTAGTAAGAGAGCGTTGTGGTATGAATGATGTAATGACTGGAATGATGGGGATGCTTCGATGGGTAGTCATGTAGAAAGAATGAATGTTGGTAGATCTACAACACAAATTTATATAGCGAAGGTGGATGGCGGCGTGGGGAGAGTTAGACCTCGGAGTACATATCTCGATCACATTGGGGATGACCCTAAAAAGACCGGGTTAAAAGTACGAAGAATAAACAGGCTTGTATAAACAGACTAATGAGAATGGAGGAGGCGATGGTTTGTCAGGACTTTAGCATGGTCGCTACCTGACTTGGTGGGAGAAAGACGTATGTACGTTTGTTGTTTAAAAAACAAATTTAGTCGACTTAATTACAATTATTAAAGTGACATCTCTAGACCGCGCCTGGTAGCTGTAAAGGTACCTCCCTGAGTAAAGAAAAACTTCCGTAAATTTGTCACAGATGGCGCTACGGCAAAAAGTCGTTAAAAACAAAGATTTGCAACAACCACAAGGAATAATTCGTTCCGTGGCTTAGTTGGCAGTGTCTGCCACGGTTTGCTGGGAGTCCTTGGTTCGAATTCGACCGGATCGAAATGCATGTCCTATCTTTGTTTAATAATTGTAACAAAGTAGTAGAGTAATTTCACAAAAAAATAATTGAATATCATGGTGGAGAAAACATTCTATAAAACTTAATTACAAATATAGGCGATTTTACATCTAAAATTTTCATTTCCAATAGCAAAAACCTATAAATCTTTAAATCGCTAATAGGTTTAATAGTCTATAGCATTATAATAGACACATGTAAAATTAATTTTAAATAATTGCCCTTTTTATCATAAGACTGATGACTATTTTACCAAAATGAGGTCTTTACTTTTTTGTATTGTATTTGTAAGTTTTGAGGCTGAGATGTATTAATTTGTATTATTTCGTCTTTAGATCTGTTGATGGAGGAGGCTAGTGTTAAGATCTGTATTTAATTAATATTGTATGAGTTTATACATTGTCATATAGCAATAAATTAAGTTTTTTCTACGAAATAATTTGGTTTTTATATCCCTCATTAAATAAATAACTTTTTTTATAACAAAAAACCACGACCTCAAAATTTTGTAGAATTAAATCTATTTGCCAAGTTATAGTGAAATCTGTCAGTAGAAAGTGTATGAAGTCTAATAAACAGGATTGATTCCTTAATTTGTCACACCAAGCACCCAGGGATACGAGGAGAAAGGTTTCACGCGGCCGCCGCGCTGCGACCGCCCAGTTACCACGCCTTCATGTACATTAATGGCGTATCTGAATTCTATTTACTACGCAACAACATTTAAATTCCTCTGAATAATACAACCGCTCGGTCGTCGCGTAGACCATATTCAAGCCAGCTTCGCCCGCGTGCCCGGGACGCTTATTTAAGTTAAAATGTAAAGGCTAAATAAGTAGATCATATTTTGCCATGACGGTTAGACGCACACGGTCGCTGCGCGGTGACAACGCGGACTCCGCTCGGCGACCGCGCGGGATGAAATTCGTGTCGAATAAATGCTCCCTTAGAGGTGGAACATTTTCTTAAAATTTTAATGGGACCTATACTGAGGTACAGGACTACCATAAAAAAAATAATCATCGAAATCGGTTAAAAAATCACTGTCTTTATACAATAACGCAGTATTTCAGAATAGTGTGAGTTTGAACTAAGCATCCAGAGACGAGCAGAGCTAGCGAAAGTTTATACAG